CGGCCCCGAGGGGTGTAAGACTCCACCCTTGGAGCAACGCTCTCAAAATACTAACACAAGCCGAGCGCTCGGTCGTTAGGGGTACTGCCCCGAGGGGTGTAAGACTCCACCCTTGGAGCAACGCTTTCAAAGTACTAACACGAGCCCAACACTCAGTCGTTAGGGGTACGGTTCTGAGGGGTGTAAGACTCTACCCTTGGAACAACACTCTCAAAGTACTAACACGAATCAAGCGCTCGATCGTTAGGGGTACGACCCCGAGGGGTGTAAGACTCCACCCTTGGAGCAACACTCTCAAAATACTAACACGAGCCAAGCGCTCGCTCGTTAGGCATACGGCCCCGAGGGGTGTAAGACTTCACCCTTAGAGCAACGCTTTCAAAATACTAACACGAATCAAGCGCTCAGTCGTTAGGGGTACGGCCCCGAGGGGTGTAAGACTCCACCCTTGTAGCAACGTTCTCAAAATACTAACACGAGTCAAGCGCTTGGTCGTTAGGGGTACAACCCCAAAGGGTTCTAAGACCCAACAACGAGTTCGGCACGTTTACTTTTATGAATTCGGCGTGAAGCCTTGCTACTTCGAGGCCATTTCCTATAAATACGATTGACGTAGAAAAGAAGACACTTATAGAAAACTAAAGTTCATTATAGAAAAAGGGCTTTGCATCCCCAGGCATACAGTAGCAACACTCTGTACAAAGCTACAAAAATATGGGACAGAAGTGAGGCTACCAACTGTTGAGGTTCTCGGCTCATTCTTCCCCGGTTTCTTCCCCGTCGAGGCCTTCACGCCGCCTTTGTAACTCATCTCCAGCCCCCAATATCTCATCTAGCTAAGTATCATGCATCCCAGTAATGATGGGGGGTGGAGAGGACAGATCATCGGTAGGCTCGGAGGGTGGCAAAGACGGAAGAGCAGGAGAAAGCTGGTCAGATCCATCGCTGAGTGTGATGGGTTCGTCTCCACCTTCAGCCCCGACCGACCCTTTTGCCTCCACGTGATCACCAAGGTCGGATCGGACCCGTTCATCCAGGACTTCGTCATTGGCCTCCTTTCGAAAGCTGTGCATGACAAACAAGTTCGAGCCTACCTCGACGTGACAGACGTGAAGGGCGGCATCCCAACCTTCTGTGAAAGCCTTCTTCTTAGCTTCCTCGAAAGCGGGGACCATTTGGTCTTGAGTGGCCTCCTACACCCTCTGACACTCTGTTTGCAGCCTTTCCTGCTCCCCCACTTTTTCTGCTATCAAGGAGTCCACTTTGGCATTAAGAGCGTTGATTATAAACTCAGATTCTTGTAGCTTGGCTTCGGAGGAGGACACTCGCAGCTCGTACTCCTCGGCCTTCTTTATCATTGCAGCTTCATTCGCCTTGGCCTTTTTCAACTCGACATGAATGACGTCTCAATGGCGGATGAGCTTGACAATATGCTTGGTTTGATCGCCGAGGGTCCTCTCGACCTTAAGGATATGGTCGTCTTTAGCAGCTGCGGCTCGCTCGGTGTTTTTTGTTCTTGCTTATATCCCCAAAAACGTTCAATGATGGCTCCCACCTGTTAGCTGGCCTGAAAAAGGATAAATATTAGGGAACGACCAACAGGGTGCGAGGACTACTTGGGAAAGCATTAAACTTACCACTAGGTTGTTTTAGATAGTGCTCATTAGGAGTCGATTGTTCGAATAACCTTTGTATACGACCATATCGGCATCAAATTGAAGAGTCCTTGCGACAGCAAACACCACTTTGAGGGATTGGAGGATGGACTCAGCTTTCAGAACTGGCCGACCGCTCCTGGTCTCAACCTGAGCAACCCACTCGCCTGAGATAGACGGGCCCGGGGTCGGGACATCATGCCGCTGCTTTACACGACACTTCTCAGATTGTTTGATATCCCGGGCACGCCTGTCCCTCAGTCGGTCTTCCGGGGTATGGACTTGTTGAGTTTGGGGCCTTTGCCTGGTTGGCAAAGCTGAATCCTTGGGTTGCATGCACGGCGGCGGTTGCCTCCAAGGAGAACTGGGCTGGGGGATGATGGGGGCAATATTGGAGGTCCGGCCAACCCGGCGAGCATGACTCCCCTTGTCGAGGTGGCGGCCTCCATGGTAGCTGCAGTGATGGGCGACGGATTAAACATCTCGGGCGCAAGTGGCTCGGGAGCGTGATGCTCAGACTCTTCTTCGAAACCTCCTTCGGATTCTCCCTTTTTCAACAAGGAGTGATCTTCCCAAACGAAAGGGTTGAAAGGAGGTTGGATCTAGGAGAATCGACTGTAAGTCGGCGTGTAGCCGAGGAGGGTATACGCCGCTCGTTCAACTAGGTCTGAGGACCAAACTCTCAGCAGGTCAGCAAACCGAACTTGGGACCTCAACGGTTGAGCAGCGTCCCGGCGATATCCTTCTGCAAAAACAAAACAAAATAAGTACGTCCCTCGGACCGAAGAATAGATAAATCAAGAAGTCAGAAAGAAAACTCACCTTCATCCCTCGGTACTTTGGGACAGTACAATCCGTCATACTCGGGACCGGTCCCTTTCTCCCAACTGCCGTCGAGCATGATCAGATTATCTACATACCCTTGTTCGAGTCGGGCATGTGGGTTATCAAATACATTGAGGAATCTCGAGCCTGGAGATAATATTGCCCCCCGGGAACTAGCCTTAGGTCGTAGCAGAATAAAATTTCGTCTACTCTTAAGTTTGTCCTCAGCCGAGCGTTTAAGGCGACTACGCCCATCACAATCCTAAAGAAGTTAACCCCACATTGAAGGAAAACGAGTTTTAGTTGCATCAATATTCCCAACAACAGGGGGTGGAGTGGGAAGGTCAACCCTCCTTCCATGATGGCCTTTGTCCAAAAAGGCATCATGTCCACATTTCTCATATCCCTCCTATGGTGAGTGAGGTTGAAGAGAAAAGCAAAGACAGGCTCACGGATGTGGTACCTAACCCTAAAAGCTTGGATATTCTCATCATTTACTTGGGTTCTCCTCATGTTGTGGGTAGTACTAGCCCTAACAGACGTTTCCCCCTTGGTTCTACTTGTTCTAGCCATTGGTGGGTGCTAAGAGGACGAAATATAGAGGAAATGAAGAGAGGAAAAGTTCAATTGGAAGTACTTACAGGAAGGTGGTCTTCAAAGAGGGAGCCCAGAGGACCAAGGAAAACTCGGAGAACAGAAGAACACTCGGGGGTCTGACTGCTGAGGAGAAATCGAGGATGTAAAAAAGTTCTTAGAAGGTATGAAAACCTCCTATTTATACTGCCTTACAGGGAGTGAAAATCAAAAAATTGAGTCATCATTAGGGTATTTGAAAAGGGCGGCACCAGGCGTATAAATAACTGGCGCTATTAATAAGACATGATAATGGAGATCCAATCTCTTTACGCCACTTGTTTTGCGGCGCAAAATGATTGCGGCTGGGAGGCAGTTGGCGGGACTCTAGGTGGCTCTTCAGCCCCCAGGTTGACACGTGGAATAATGAAGCCGTTGGGATGTCCAAAGGGTACCGTTGGGATGTCTAAGGGGTCCCGAGGAGGTAAGCCGAGGTATGGAGATACGGAGCAGCCGAGTACGACAGCTGACATCGTATTTAATGCGATGTGACCCCACATTTATGGCGGAATGAGTGATAGTGACAAGGCAAATAAATGCGCGTCTACCATCACCTGTCATTTGGGAGTCTAAGTCTACTGTCATGATGTCTAAGTATTAATGGCTGATGCGCCGAGACGACGCGATCGGCTCTTCCGAGGAATTGTTACCTCCGAGTATTCAATGCTCAGTAGATGTAAGATGCCGATCTGGGGGATTTTGGATACTTGGGGAGTGACATAAATGCTTGGCACATGACTGAGCATTTACCCCCATTTTCTTAGCATTCAATAGGAGGAGACGTGCATAGAAAACACTCATTGTACAATGAATGGTGTGTCAAATGTGAGATGTCCATATGAGATTGGAGATCTTTGACAATCATTGCTAATTCAGGTATAAATACTCCTCAGAAAAATGGNGCATAGAAAACACTTATTGTACAATGAATGGTGTGTCAAATGTGAGATGTCCAAATGAGATTGAAGATCTTTGGCAATCATTGCTAATTCAGGTATAAATACTCTTCAGAAAAATCGACAAAGGTACGCACACTCGAACCAGAAAAATAGTTCACTAAGCAAAATTCTTCGATCTTATACTGACTTAAGCTTCGGAGAGGATTAGTCGGACACACGTTCAGCCCCCTTTTTTCTAACCCTGCTGTTTCAGGTTCGTCAGCTGGGTGATCGCTGCCTCCCACGATTGCAGGAATCATCCCGTGCAATACCTATAACCAATTAAGGGGAAAGCAGCNACACTCGAACCAGAAAAATAGTTCACTAAGCAAAATCTTTTGATCTTATACTGACTTAAGCTTCGGAGGGGATTAGTCGGACACACGTTCGGCCCCCTTTTTTCTAACCCTGTTGTTTCAGGTTCGTCAGCTGAGTGATCGCTGCCTCACACGATTGCAGGAATCATCCCGTGCAATACCTATAACCAATTAAGGGGAAAGCAGCAAAACTATATCGAATAAATAATAAACTAACTCCTTCCTTACTCCATGACACACTATTCATCATACTCATTTGCGTTAGACCTTCAACGTTCTGAAAATAGTAAGATCAGTGAAAATGCAGTTGGGAAATTACTGTGGTAAAAAAAATTGTTATTACTGGATCGAATTAGGAAAGGTAAAGAAGAGCGAACAAAAAAAAAACTCACTGGAAAACAGAAGAGCAAACATGAAATGAAACGACAGCTTCAGGAAAGGAGAACATATGTTCGTTTAAGATGTGGAAAAAGCTAAACTTCATAGAGACTACTCAGACAATCCATTTTGTTGTCTTTCCTGCACAATCCCCATCTTAACTAACTCTAGATTTTACTTTCCAATACAAGCAAAATACAACAATTAGGGGTATTGCTTCCTTGATCATTCATGGTTCTAGCATTGTCCTTCTCTCATCTTAACCACCTTGTTAAAGCAGTGGTTGAAGTTGAACATGGAGAAATTTCTCCGCCAATGCTGTCTGTGTAACATGACCTTCTCGACTGTTGCTCCATTCCTCCATAGCCTGCTTGAACACTCTTGAAGCTGGAACAACTCAAGTTCTGGCTAAAACTGCTGCAGTCATTGGCGGCTCCAATGTATGGCTGCTCAGGAACTGGATATGACAGGCGTTTCTTTGCCGACCCGCCTCGTTCCCTCTCTGGTGTTGAGGGCCTCTGCCTTGGTGCACTTTGTGATCTAACCCGAGCTTTTGCAGACTTGGTGGCAGCCATGTAGTTGGGCATTGCAGCAGTACCACCACCCTCATTAGCCCATGTGGTATAGTGGCATCCGCTGCCATTGAAATGAGGTGTCGAACGTAAGCTTGGGCTGTTTGCCGTTGAGTAGCTTTTGTCTTCTTTGAGACATCGAGGACTTGCTGAACGCACTTGCAAGTGTTTGGTTTTAGATGGGCAAGGCGTTATGGGTGGTTGGATGACAGAGACATTGTACTGTGCACGGTGAGGAGAAGCTACATGATATGGGGTAGGTTGTCTTTGGTGGTGACTTTGATATTGTGTTCTTCGAAAATTGTTAGTTGAATTAGAAGAGTAAGGGCCAGATATGTCGACTTCAACGGGTTTTATAGGGTCCCTTCTATCAATTGAAGCTCTGCTCTTGTTCTCCCGTTTCATATCAGTTGAAGCTCTGCTGTTGCTCTCCCATTTCATATCAGTTGAAGCTCTGCTGTTGCTCTCCCATTGCTTTGTTACCATCCACCGATCAAGCCGGTTTGTCCTTTCTTCCACTTCGTTTCCATCTCTTGCGTTCCTATCAGAACACCATAACTTGATATGGGTGTAAAAAAACACAGCTTGTGAGTTAGGAATCCAGAATACGAACAAAAGAACCGATAAGGAGGTTGTACTTGATTTCGTATGTGCTATGGAAAGTTGGAAACTCTGGAAAACAACTTACCATCGACCCATGGATGTCTTGAAGATATCTAGACTCCCATAAGTCGTTTGTCTCGGCAAACAAAGACTCTCTGCCTGCATCGTGTGAAAGCCTCGCACTTGTACGTTGATCACGAACCCGAGCCTGCACTCGAAGCAGAGCCTGCATGCATTTTAGTGTCATCTTTGCTTGCTTTCGGACATTCTGTCCTCTCACTAAAGCTTGAAGCTTCACAAGGCCCTTAAGTGCACGTAGTGCTCTTCTTGCCTGCAGCCAATCAAATTCTTCTTACAAACAGTAAAGATTGCAAACAACAGTAATCCTGGTCCCCTGTGAGTATCCACTCTAACCGAGATTGGGCAAGCATCAATTTTTAAGGCACTACAGTTTGTTGCTTCAAAAACAAAATCTGCTTTGATGAGAAAATCAAATGCTTATGAATTGCTTGGACAGCACCTTACTAAATATAGTACTGATTACCAGGTAACCTCTGAAAGCTGTTTGAATAACTATAGCCGCGGCTGCTGCAACGGCAATCGCATGCCTTTGCTCAGCAACCAACATAGGTTCTTCAGGTGTAGAATGGGTTGTCACCTTTGTTTGACTTTGCTGAGTATTATTTGTAGGCTTTCGAAACATCCATCGTCGCTTCTGCACAAACCGCCCAAAAATGTAATTCCACCAAAAATGCCATGTGTAGAAACACTACAATCGAAAACATACAACAAAAAGTAGTTTTGGAAAGCATAAACACAGTTAAATGATTACCTTCCCTTCTTCTTGTTCATGTTCTTCTCTCCTCCTGCTACTATTTTTCTCATTAGCCTTAGTTGGAGACCTGAAGGCCTTCTTTACGGCTGTCAACCATGAAGTACCTCCCTTCTTTCCCATGAAAAGATATTGTAACAAGGCCTTCTTACATTTACAGCTATATTCAAGGTCAAGCGATGAAGCAAAGCGAAGCGGATCAGTAAATTGAGGGATCAATGTATTTTGATTCCTTGCTACCGAACACAAACACGAGAAATTAATGAGATAATGAAATGACTGATGAGTGTGTGTATCCGTGCAGCATCTAGCAGAGTATGAGCTCAAATATGTCTGCTATAAAGAAGCATAGGTGTTTTCTAGGGTCATGGGGAAAAAAATAATGTTGGGTTTGTCAGTGATTGCCATGAACTTGGCATATAAAATAAAGTTGCAAGAGGACATAAATATGAGTGAGGAAAGGATTGCTGTGACATAAGAATCCAAATTCCTCAAAAAGAGTCGGGCTTTTTGATTGAATGTGCCTTTTTATTTTACTCCTACTCCTACATATACGAACTGACAGACTCTAATGGCTTCACGTGTTGTGTGCAGAGGAGAGGGGAAGAGAGAGAGGAGGGGTGATTGGTTTTTTTGTGACAATTGCAGGTATGTTTTGTTTTAGCGAAGGAGTCCTATCCTCCTCGAATACCTGACAGCTAACGCGAAGCCAATTCAAGGAGAATCCAGTTGTTACGTAATAAAGGGGCTTGTGAGTCACCGGGTAGACTAGTCAAAACTGTCTCTCCTCTATTTTCTTTTATTTTTCAGAAAGTAATTTGCTAATCTATTTTCCTTTTTGTATATATATTATTATCTATATAATAAAGTAATTGAATTATTCCTCTTGAGCTTTTCGTGATTTAGATCATTTTAATCCGATGGTTCTAATTAAATTTCATTCACTCTCATCCCTCGTATAACTCTTTCTATCTATCTATCTTATACTCTCTCTTATTATTATTTTTCTTTTTTTTTGTTTTCCCTNTGATCTGATGGTTCTAATTAAATTTCATGCACTCTCATTCCTCGTATAACTCTTTCTATCTATCTATCTTATACTCTCTCTTATTATTATTTTTCTTTTTTTTTTTGTTTTCCCTCTATTTATATATCTTATAGATGAAACTACATATTATACNTAATCCGATGGTTCTAATTAAATTTCATTCACTCTCATCCCTCGTATAACTCTTTCTATCTATCTATCTTATACTCTCTCTTATTATTATTTTTCTTTTTTTTTGTTTTCCCTCTATTTATATATCTTATAGATGAAACTACATATTATACAATTATTTATTTCATGAAATTAATTCAAAGTTTTCATATACTTGATGACCTAAATTTGCTACTTGATTCTTAATTTGTAAATAACATTTAATGTAAATAAAAAATAGCGCATTGACTATAAACACCAAATAATATTTAACACGAAATGAATCTTAGATTATAAATTAATATATAATTTTATCAAAAATTGACATTTAATTTTTTCCAATTTATATTTAATTTTTTCAAATTAATATCAAGTTAATTTTTATTGTTATCCAATTAATATTAAAATTCATTTAATCAATTTTTTGGAGTACTAAATTATATCAATTTNTGTCAAATTAATATCAAGTTAATTTTTATTGTTATCTAATTAATATTAAAATTCATTTAATCAATTTTTTGGAGTACTAAATTATATCAATTTTTGGGTACTAAATCAAATTTTATTTGATTTTATTAAATTTTTATTTTTTTTGGTACTAAATTTGGAAAAGAGCAATTGTAAAAATAATAAAATTTTTTGGGATGGAATTANATTTTTTTTGGTACTAAATTTGGAAAAGAGCAATTGTAAAAATAATAAAATTTTTTGGGATGGAATTATCAATTTTTGTTAGCAACATTGACGAAAAGGAGAGAGAGGGTCTTTGTACAATGAATTCAAACCTCAGGGAGGCTCAATATTATTTATAAAATGTCAAGAGGTGTCTATGTAATATTGTCAAAGCTTAGGGAATGTTTGTGATTTTTATCATTTTTTTAATTAAACATTTATATATTATTATTTTATCTTAAAAACTTGAATTATTGTATTTTTAATAAAAATAATTATTGGTTATGAGGGTTTATTGGTAATCAAAAAAGAAATGTATATAGGTGTGTTTCTGTGTATATTTATATGTAGAGGATTGGACATTTGATGATTAAATTTATAATTATATTCTGTCATTTGGAATTGAATGGTGATAGTGATGATAAATTCATGAGTTTTACAAATGAGCAAGATTTTATTGATTTTATTTATCGTTTAAAGATTTTGAAATTAATTGTCTTCTGTTAGTATTTTTTTTATTATAGTTATTTATTATATGGAAGTAGGGTGGATCGGAAACATGGTGATTAAGTTTATAATTGTGTTATATTATTGGATTGAATGGTAGTGGAGGTGATAAATTCAAAAGTCTTATAAATTAGCAAAATTTTATTTATTGTTTAGAGATTTTTAAATTTTAATGGATTATGTTAATATTTATTTTTTTTCCAAAGGCATTTGTATATATGATATTATTTTGAGGAGTTTTTATATACTCTTATGGCAATTCCATTAATATGGAGTATATGGTCGACGATATATTTAGAGTCATTTTATAAGAAGAATTGATATGAATATTTTAGGTCATTTCTTTTAAATTTGAGCAATTATTTAAGATTTTTTTTGTTTGTTGGGTAACGACTAATATGTATAATAAAGAAGTTAGATTGTTTGTTTTGAGCATTTTGAGGCTCAGATTTTTTTGATCCGATGGTCTTAATTTGAAAATTTTCTCCTCAATTTTTTAAAAAAGATTTTCATTCCTTCCACAAATCTAAAACTCATATTTTTCATATAATTCTCTCTCTCTCACATACTATCTAATATTACGTTTCTCTCCCTCAGCTCTCTTTCCCTCTCACATACCTCTCTCATAGGGATGACAGTGGATCGGGGGCGGAGGCGGGGGAAGTAGTCTCCACCCATATATCCACTTCAAAAATATTTGTCCACTTTAGTTAGTGGAAAAAATTTTAATCCTCGTTTCCACCCACGGGTAAATTTTGATCCCTATCGTCTCGAACCATACCAATTAATTTATATGATTTGAAAAAAAAAACATAAAACCTCACAAATGAATTTGTGAGAATGATGAAAACTCATTATATAACAAATGAATCAAACATAAAAACTTAAAAAAATAATATGTATAACAAATGTGTATTTCATTTAATTATTTTATTTGTTATATATATATATATTATAGGTTTAGCGGGACAAGGATGAGTTTTAGTCTATTCCCGCCTCCATTAACGCACGGATTTGTACGAGTATTTTCATAAACGAATAGTCCATTATCAGTCCAAAAAGAGTAGGTTTGGATTAATACTCATTTTTTCCCGATCCACTAACATTCCTACTCTCTCACTCAACTCTCCAATTCCTCTTTCTCTCCCCCTTCCTTTCTGTCTCTACCTACACCCCATAAGCGCTAATGCCGGTCACCGCCTCAATCGCGGTATTTTCCTCCGATTCTTTTTGACTTTTTTTTTAAATTCTGAGTGATTTTTAAATCAGTTTGAATGTTTGCAATAATTTCTATATGTGTGTGTGTGCTTGCCTGTGTGTGTTTCTTTGTGCATTGTGTGTGCGTGTCTTCAGTCTTTCTCCCTCTCTCTTAACTTTGGCGGTGGGATTGATGGTGTGTGGTTGCGACTGATTTCATATTGCCATAGTTTTCTTTGTTTTTTTTTTTATCGCCGGAGCCTTCGGGGCATACATGGAGGATAGGTTTGTAGCGTGGCAGACAGTGGGCCTACAGGGAATGTAAGCAGCAATAGTGCTCACAGTTCATGGAAGAAGAAGAAAAACAGAGACCAAATATCTCTGGGTAATCAAATTCCTATTGAACAATAGGAATTTGATCTTGATTAATCAAATACATTAAACAAAGAATTCCATTTTTATAATGTTATTGTAAGAAAATTAAAAATTCATTATGCAATGCAATCCATTGGTGATTTTTCTCAACTTTTTTGATTGATTATATTTTGTGTTATATAGTAGATTCGGACATGAATAATTATTTATAAACCACCACTACAATTATAATTATTATCCCTCATAGCTATAGCCAACGACAATTATCTCATTCTTATACTTCTCATGGTAAATTCGTTTCTCGATAATTGTCAACATTAGAAAAACGGATCAAAAGTTAGTTTAAAATATCTTTATGATGATAATTAGATGTTTGATGAATGACCAATCACATATTTTTTTTTAATTGTAGGCATCCTTTGACTCGAAGCCGTCACAGTTAAATTGAATTTGAAATTCATCAGGTGAATGTCTCTTTCTTCGCACTCTACGCCAGATGAGAAGTGATAAAAAAAAACATTGTAGTGGATATTTATATCCATATGTAGTGCCTCTTAACCTTTTGGTATATCTTGGCAATAATATGTGGCATTTCTTGGCAGCAAAATATTATTACGGAACAAAAAAAAAAAAAAAAACTTTCTACAATACCTTCCCCAAAAAAAAAAAAATCTGGGTGAAGGGGTGTTTGGTCGTGTTTATAGAGATTGCTTGGAAAGCACAAGACATGCAAGTTGTGCCTACTCGAAAAAAAAAAATTTGATAGTTGAATTCAATATGCGAGATCTTCAACATGACTTGGTACATAATTTGCACGGCAGATACTTATAATTGTTTACATTTTTTCTGATCTTTGGGATTTTTTATTTGAATTCAATATGCGATATCTTTTTTCTAATTTTTAAGATTTATTAGTTTAATTTCTGATTTTATACTATCATACACATGTAGTTTTTTTTTCATTATACTCGAGTAAATTATTGAATCTATACGATGTTCTGTTAGTATCGTTTTTAGGATTGACATTAATAAACTCTCTGCAATGTTGGATTTTAGAGCTTTGTTTGATAAATTGTAATTTTATATTGTTATGATGATGTATGATTTTTTGGTGTATAATACATTCAGATGTGGCATGGTGTGATGATAATATTGAATTTCATGACTGGATATAATTTTCTTTTAATTTTTGATATTTTTTGTCACATAATGCCTTCAAATACGGATAATTTCTAGTATATATTTATATACTTGTTATTCCATGTATTTGTATATATCCGTTCTGATTAAAATCACAAGCCAAAGTTNATACGGATAATTTCTAGTATATATTTATATACTTGTTATTCCATGTATTTGTATATATCCGTTCTGATTAAAATCACAAGCCAAAGTTCACACTCAAATCCAAGGAACAAAGAATTTGAGTGAGAAATTAATTATTAGCTTGAGTGTAATATTATTGTCCTTTAAGGACGGACTCTTGTCTTTATACAAGTCAAATAATTTTTTCATAGGTTCAGGATATATCCTTTCAATAGCACCATGCACTACAAGAAATAAGTTTGTTAGTGGCGAAAGTATTAGTGACAAAACTTATATCGTCATTAAAACCTAATGTTTAGTGACGAAAATAAATAATGGCCACTAACCCAAAATATTTAGTGGCAAGTTAAAAAAATTATCACTTATTTCATAAAATAGTGTTACTACCGACAACATTAGTTTTGTCACTAATATTTGTCACTAAATTTGAGGCGGGAGAAATTTGACGCCAAAAAAAAATGGAGCGAAGTACTTTAGTGGCAATTAATTTAATGTAGTCACTAAATAATTAATCAAATGATAACTCTTTAGTCACGACTTGTCCACTTGTCACTATTTTTATGAACTAAGGTGGTATTGGTGACAGAATTTAATTGTTGCTAACAATCTGATCAATAATTTGGGGGAAGGAATTTTTTGGCGCAAAAAATATGTTGGAGGGAAGAATTTAAGTGACAATTATTTTAATGTTGTTGATAAACAAATAATCTATGTCCAACTATTTAGTAATGACTTAGCCATGAGTCACTATTTGGTTGAACCAAGATGCTATTAGTGATGAATTTGAACTTGTCACCAATAATTTTATCATTAATTTTGAGGTGGAAATTTTTTGGTGCTAAAATGTGTTGGAAGGAAGTATTTTACCAACAAGTTTTTAACGTCGTTACAAAATAATCAATCTAACACCAAGTATTTAGTGGCAATCTAATGACACGTCACTTTTTGACTAATTTTTATGAACTATGAGGTATTAGTGACAAATTTAAGTTTGTCAGTTATAACAGTGTCAATCACTTTTATTAGAATCGGACTAGACTGCCCGGTTTGACTGGTGAACCAGATCCTTCAGCGATTTGGTTCACTAAAAAGATTGATGGTATAATCAAACCGTTGAAAAATCAAACCTTCTGTGTACTTAAAATAAGGATGCAAATAAATTATGCTTATAAATAAATCGAATTGAGATCCATATTTGACCTGAATACAAACTTGTTTACAAATTCAAATTTAATTAATTAAATATAGATTGAAATTTATTTTAGAATATTCAAATTCAAATTCGAATCATTTATAATGCATACAATAGATTTAAATTATGATATATTGTATCGAAACCTAGTAATTTGAACCTATTATAATTGATTAAACTGAATCCGAATATAAATATGCTATTAATTAAATAATTTTGATCGAACTAAATTTCAATTTTTAAAGAGTACATATATAGACTTTGAAAATGAAATACACCGAGTAACAGAATCATAGTTTCCAAATTGGATTTGTATTCTTATTGGTTGGTCTAAATTTAATATGATTATCGGTTGGATAATTGATTGCGCACTTGTCCTAAATGATCATAAATTGATCCAAATTTGTCATTTTGTATGTAAGGTACCAAAAATTGACATGATCTATTACATATGACATGAACACAATACGAAATTAAACGGTTTAAGTCTTTCTTAAGACACCTATTTCGGAAACTTGTAGACATTATAGGCTTACAAACCAAATCGTATATAAGTGAAATCAATAAAAAAAATACATAATACGATTCGTATATATTTCGATTATACACGATTCATATAAGGTACAAACTCAATATGTCACGTTTCGTTAAACACGAATTAATAAATAAATCAGTTATGCTTAAATTATTTTGGGACACAAACTCATTAAAACCCGATACGAACTAGTCTTACTGGACACATTTTTTTTTTGAACACTACTCGATACAATTGACAAACCTACTCTAATGTACTATTTATCTTTGTCAATTAATTTTAATAAAAATGTGCTAGTTTTTGTATGTGAAAATCTTGTTAACTAGATTAAATATTATTTTTGTCCTAACTAAAAAGATAATCTATAACAATTATATTATATTATATTGTTATGATATAACACTACAACCTAAAAGCTAGGGCAGCCAAAATTTTTTTTTTGAGCTAAAGGCGGATAACATATAACAACTATATTATATTATATTGTTCTAATATAACACTGCTTTATCACCTAATAGCTAAGGCAGCCAAATTTTAATTTTTTTTAGCTAAAGGCGGATAACATATAACAACTATATTATATTATATTGTTATGATATAACACTACTTTATCACCTAATAGCTAGGGCAGCCAACTTTTTTTCGAGCTAAAGGCGGATAACAGGAGAAAATATTTAAGAAAAATTCTCCTTTGCTCACTTATCTTATCAACCAATCCCATTCTCACATCTTAACTTGTCACAAATTCTTGCAGAATCCTATTATGACTATTCTTCACATTCTCTATCGATACGTTTCTCTTGTTCTCTCAATCTCTATATTCTATCTCTATATCTCCATCTGCAATTACAAGAGTTACAATTTCATCACTTCTGATTATAGGTATTTCATTACTTTTCACACTTTAATCACTGAATTTGAGTCCGTAACATGTAATTTATTTCTCGTCATTCAATCAATTTTATGGATTGCTAGTGTTTGTTTCTCTTTTATATTTTTATGCTTCTTCAACTTTTCCAATGATTTTAAGCATGTTACAGTCTGTGCTTCATGTATGTTGCCAAATAAAAATGTCTTTGCCTTATTCCTTCCATGGTTATTGATAGGTGAAAGCATGGTTCTCTAATACAAGTATGAGTTTTGTGCTTTTTGTCCTTGATTTGAATATTTATGAGTTTTTTTGGTTCTAAATTGTTAAATCAAAATTTAAATTGTTTGTAATTGGGCCACAATTGATATGTGGTTTGATTTGATTGATAAGGAGAACAGAGAGGGGTTGAGGTGGTGGTGGTGGAGAACCTGAAAAGGGGGTTGTGGTTGTGGAAAACAATGGTGAACAGCAATGGAAAGGTGGTGATGGGCGGTGGGCTAGAGAGAGAGAGAGGAGTTATACCTGGACTTGTGGACTGCTGGGGGTAATTCGCTAGGGGCTGGTGGGGGTAATTCGCTAAGGCTGCTGGGGGTAATTCGCTAGGCCCTTTCTCCATTTGCTTCAACACTTGAACTTCCCCATTATTGACCATGAAGCTTGATTTTATACCCTATTCCTTTTTGCTTCAATGGGACTCCAAACAAGAAGGAATTGAAACCCCATGTCTACACTAATATTGGTGATTGGTAGTTGGTTCAAATTTGTAATGTACATAGATTATTTTGAATACAAAATATTATATATTAAAATCACATACAACTTGCCCCAAAGCTCACCAATATTAATAACATTAATGATTAATCAAGCAACAACAACGTTACAAAAGCTAGTCAATAGATTTAAAATTTGAAATATGGCATACTTGATTTGTCTGAGAAACCAACTATCAGCTATAATGTGATTAAAAAAGTTTGATTTAATTGTGCTTGAGAGCATTAGAAAAGTCATATGACATTGAAATATATGTGACAAAATACCAAATCATTCTCTAAGGGCTGTTTACTTCTAGGATATGGGTGGTATAAGGGGGTGATATTAGGGAAATAGTATGTGGGGTCCACTTTATATCTTCTTTGTTTGACATTTTTTGTTTGATATTATTTTTCGAGTTGTAGTATCGACCTAGTGTGAACAGTGACTTTAATGTCTTCTATATGGTATTAAGCAATACCACCTACCAAGTGGTATTATCTTCCCGGTACAAGTGAAAGGACGGTATAAGAGAATAAAATGACACAAATGCCTTCCTATGTGAAGAGTTCACATATAAAAAAATTATTTTGAATTTTTCTTTGTATTATATTTAAGCGTACGATGTCACCAGTTTTTTTTAAAAAAAATTATTTTGAAGTGTACAGTGTCAACAATTTTCTTTTTAAAATTATTCTAAATTTTTTCCTTATATTATATTTAAGCATACGGTGCCACCGATTTTTCTTTTTTAATTTTTTTTAAAAAAATTATTTTAAAATTTTTCTTTGTATTATGTTTAAGTGTACGATATTACCTTTTTTTAAAAAAAATTATTTTGAATTTTTTTCTTGTATTATGTTTAACGTAAGGTGTTACCGATTTTTTTTTTTAAAATTATTTAAAATTTTTTCCTTATATTATGTTTAAACGTACAATGTAACCGATTTTTTTTTAAATTATTTTAAATTTTTTCTTGTATAGATGGTTAAGGGTAAAGTAGAATGGAAGATGTTAAGGATAAAATTGTATATTTGTTATATAAGATATGATAGAATAGATGGTTGTTTGTGGGACTCACTATAATATCCATTGAACAAATAAACAAGGGAAAGGATGTGATACAAGTTTAAGACCAAATATAGTATACCATTGGATAGGAGTGGAATGTAAATAATTTCTAATACTACCCAAATTTAATATTGAAAACAAACATGCCCTAAGACTAGTAAATTTGGAAACTCTGACTTGAAGATTTTCTTTGTCTTCACTAGTGCTATTTTTTATTAGTGCCTCATTGTCACTACATTTGTTTTTCAAAAATTGATGGCCAGTTGCTAGAAATTTCATTGCTTTCATGAGAAAGGGTAAAATTGTTATTATTATCATGAATGGAAC